TTTTTTCTGGGAGATGGTTGTGAGAAAGTGATGAGAAGAAAAGGAACTGTACATTCAATAAAATGTGTATCAAATTAAATTGATATATAATTACAGGTTACTTTTGTTATTTAAGATATAATGCAGAAATCCTGGATTTCTCAAGCCAAAGATGAAGCAATATAACCAATTTCTAAATGAAGAATGAAGAGCAACAGTATTTAGTGCAGTACATTGTAGAGCTTTTCTCACAGAGCTTTCCTATCAACATAGTTTGAGAACAGTTCTGTCATATAATCTGAGTAGTTTATATTTGTATCGTTCACAGTATGCTTAAAGTCTGTAGGCAAAATATATCTATCCATCCAAAGGTCTTTTGACTCCGTTTTGAAGTATTTCAAACATGCACATGATGACAGTTCTTAATGTTATGGTTATGTACTTTTTAAATGTTTTTGGTCTTATTGGATAAAATAACCTGGAAGCAAACGATTCTTGAAGTTATATTTAAAGTGTATAAAATAACTTGTCATTTCCACTATTTTTGTATGTCTCTTTTTTGTGTGCATTTGGATAAACCTGCAGGAGTGATTTAATGACTGCAGGAAAAAGTGAAAGTTGCCATGGTTGTGTAAAGGGATGAAAAACCTGCAACAACACCCCTCTCAAGGCCTGGCCTTAAAGAATGTGGAAGAGGGCAGCATCAGATTCCAACAACCCAGAGAACATGATCATGTGAACAAAGTTAATTCCGAAGGAAGACTGAGAATACAGATCATACCTGTTCCACAAACCTAGAGAATGTCCTTCCCGTACAGCCTGCAACAGGTCTGGTCTGGTGTTCCCTTGGCTTGGAGAAGGCTGGACACAGCAGTGAGTGTCCACAAACCAAAGCACTGCTCGAGCAAAGATAAAAAAATAAAATGGCACATGTCTGCAGAGGGTGCCTGTAAAAAAACATTAAATATATAAATTAAATCCGTTGTAAACCACCACTGCAAGTTAATAACGTCAGCAATTTCAAGTAAGCAGATCACTTCAGGCAGCCTTACCATTTTTGAACTACTTTCCGACTCGCAAGTGCACATTTAGCATACAAACCCTTGGGGAATCTTGGTTTTCCTTTTACCTTAAGCACTCCAATCTTCAATTAGCAAGTGTCAATCAGCTTCATTCAATACTACATGCCTAATACCTTAACCATAAGTGTTTTTTGTAAAACATTGGTTTGTAATAAAAATTTTAAAAGTAACCCTTTATAAAACTTAAAATAAGATTTGCTTGTTTCTGATGTCTAGAATTTAGCTGGGCACATAATACTTCAAATAAAACAATGTACTTCTAGCATTACATGATGTATCTAGAGGCCTTACAGTCCAAGTCCTAAGTTTCAATTGTTTGGTCTGCACAGGCATTGAAACATTATCAAACCTTTGCATTATTCATCCAGTATAAGGATGAATATCCAAATTGATTTCTTACCATTTCATGCAGAGATCCAATAGTTCTGTGCACAGGACAAATATTCAGGTCCTCACCTGGAGAAAAAAAGAATTACATTTATTAAACATTTAATGACCTGCAATTAAGAACGCCAGTACTGTCTCACTTTACTAAGCTGTGCGTAACAGCTTCAACAAGGGGTGTCTGGATCTCTAGGAGATGATTTCTCCCAGTTTAAAAATACTCAAATCCCTAAGAGGGATGGTTTTCTAGTGAATGAAGATACCCGGTGCCCTTGG